TGGATCTTTGTTTTATGGATACATCTGATTAATGATATAAATTATACTGATGGTTCTGTTTGTCTCTACATCTTGCATCAATGTTCTTCAGCATGTCAGACATCAAATCATTTGTCTGCAACAGGCTGTTTCTGTACATGTCACTTAAGACGAAAGGCTGATTTTCTTATGTAGTTGTTATAAAAAGAGCAATGGATTTGACAAGTAAACAAGGTCACTATGGAGTTGACATACAAACAAGGTCAATATGGAGTTGACATACAAACAGGGTCACTATGGAGTTGACATACAAACAAGGTCAATACGGAGTTGACATATAAACAAGGTCACTATGAAGTTGACATACAAGCAGGGTCAATATGGAGTTGACATACAAACAGGGTCAACATGGAGTTGACATATAAACAAGGTCACTATGAAGTTGACATACAAACAGGGTCAATATGGAGTTGACATACAAACAGGGTCAATATGGAGTTGACATATAAACAAGGTCACTATGGAGTTGACATATAAACAAGGTCAATATGGAGTTGACATACAAACAGGTCAATATGGAGTTGACAAACAAGGTCAATATGGAGTTGACATTTAAACAAGGTCAATATGGAGTTGACATATAAACAAGGTCAATATGGAATTGACATACAAACAAGATCAATACGGAGTTGACAAACAAAGTCAATATGGAGTTGACATATAAACAGGGTCAATAAGGAATTGACATACAAACAAGGTCAATATGAAGTTGACAAACAAGGTCAATATGGAGTTGACATATAAGCAGTTTCAATGTGGGATTGACATTTCAACAAGGTCAGGATGGGATTTACAGATAAACAAGGTCAATATCACAAGGTCACTATCAGTAACATAGAGTATAATGTGATTCAATTATTTTTGTAACCCTTAATTAACAAGATTGATATATCATGACCTTATATTTATACAGGATTGATTCACACAGATCAGATGTTTATACTGGGAGTGACCCAGATAAACCCAAAATTGATATATAAAATATTTGTAGTAAAGCTGGTTTGGCCATCAGTGTGAGCTGTTTGATGTTTATAGTAATTACTGGTAATGGTAACAAGTATAGATATCTCTGAGTATGTAGGAAATGTTGGTTTGTGTACATACGATTCTATCTGATAATTGGTGGTATAGATTTGTTAGATGACAAGATATAACTTAGTGTAAACAAATAAAAGCAAGTGACAAGTTCCACTGTGTTATTGATCAGTCGATTACATTATCAGCTTGTTAATCAAAAGAATAAAATATTAAATACATCATATATACTGTTAGTGACTCTGAAACAAGATTGAAAGTAGATTTCCACTATCCCAATCAATTTTGAAGAATTTATATGCCATGGTTTTGAATATAAACATTTATTTTTTTGTTTGTCTCTGTATTTGTCCCTTATTTTCAGTCTAATTCATATTGTTTTTTTTTCTTCTTTCTTTATTTCTTCTTTGATTACATACTTATTTGTCCTTTCTTTCCCCTGTGTGTCCTTTTCCTTCATGTCTCTTTTTTGTCTATCTTTCTTCTTTTCTCTTGATTTTTTTTGCCCCTTCCTATATCTATTTTTTCCAGCTTCTATCTCTTTGTCTCCTCTTATATCAGTTTGTCCCCTGTTCTATTTCTTTGACCCATCTTTTATCAGTTTGTCCCCTATTCTTTTTCTTTGTCCCATCGTGCATCTTTTTGTAGCCTGTTCAATTAGTTTGTCCCCTGTTCTATTCCTTTGACCCTTCTTGTATCAGTTTGTCCCCTGTTCTATTCCTTTAATCCATCTTGTATCAGTTTGTCCCCTGTTCTATTTCTTTGTCCCTTCAGTATCAGTTTGTCCATGCTTGTATCAGTTTGTCCCCTGTTCTATTTCTTTGTTCCTTCAGTATCAGTTTGTCCCCTGTTCTATTTCTTTGTCCTTTCAGTATCGGTTTGTCCATGCTTGTATCGGTTTGTCCCCTGTTCTATTTCTTTGTTCCTTCAGTATCAGTTTGTCCATGCTTGTATCAGTTTGTCCCCTGTTCTATTTCTTTGTCCTTTCAGTATCAGTTTGTCCATGCTTTTATCAGTTTGTCCCGTTCTATTTCTTTGTCCCTTCAGTATCAGTTTGTCCATGCTTGTATCAGTTTGTCCCCTGTTCTATTTCTTTGTTCCTTCAGTATCAGTTTGTCCCCTATTCTTTTTCTTTGTCCCATCGTGCATCTTTTTGTAGCCTGTTCAATTAGTTTGTCCCCTGTTCTATTCCTTTGACCCTTCTTGTATCAGTTTGTCCCCTGTTCTATTCCTTTAATCCATCTTGTATCAGTTTGTCCCCTGTTCTATTTCTTTGTCCCTTCAGTATCAGTTTGTCCATGCTTGTATCAGTTTGTCCCCTGTTCTATTTCTTTGTTCCTTCAGTATCAGTTTGTCCCCTGTTCTATTTCTTTGTCCCTTCAGTATCAGTTTGTCCATGCTTTTATCAGTTTGTCCCGTTCTATTTCTTTGTCCCTTCAGTATAAGTTTGTCCATGCTTATATCAATTTGTTCCCTGTTCTATTTCTTTGTCCCTTCAGTATCAGTTTGTCCATGCTTTTATCAGTTTGTCCCGTTCTATTTCTTTGTCCCTTCAGTATCAGTTTGTCCATGCTTGTATCAGTTTGTCCCCTATTCTATTTCTTTGTCCCTTCAGTATCAGTTTGTCCATGCTTATATCAATTTGTTCCCTGTTCTATTTCTTTGTCCCTTCAGTATCAGTTTGTTCCCTGTTCTATTTCTTTGTCCCTTCAGTATCAGTTTGTCCATGCTTGTATCAGTTTGTCCCCTGTTCTATTTCTTTGTCCCTTCAGCATCAGTTTGTCCCCATTCTATATTTTTGTCCCTTCAGTATCCATTTGTCCCCTGTTCTTTGTGTTTTCCCTTCTTTTTCCTCTCTTCATCCCTTCTTTTGTCATTTCCTTTTATCTCTGTTATCATTTTTCCCCCCATTTTATCTTCTTGTCCCCATGTCTTCTTCACTTGGGTTTCTTCTTGTGTTTCATGTCTATAAACCTCAGTCTTTCGGGTTGACCCCATGTCATTGTTACAGAGCCCCATCACCTCTCCATTAATTTTATTCTTGTTTCAGTATTTCACTATCTGTGTAAATTCTCCTCAGGTTTCCCTACATCCATTTATTCACCACTTCTTTCTTATTTTCTTCTCCATGTACTTGTCTTGCTTTCTTTTTGTTGGTACACAGCCCTGTGACGTATTGATAGATAACTGGGGCTGATGCAGCAATCCTTGGAGATTTATGGTAGGATAGGGGGAGTCAATGCTGGTTATATTTATGAAGGGAAGATTAGAGTATTGATAACAAAGTAATCATTATAAAAACTACTAGGTATGTGTAATAAATGACTGTGACAGTTAGTGTGCCACACATCAAACAGTTGACGGAGTCGTCAGGTGGTAAAAGTTACAAGGTAAAACACACTGATCATGGTAATGAGTATTTTGTGGCCTGTGACTTATTACTGGGATGGGATAGCTCCAAAAGTAATGGATGTCTTTGAAGGTGTATGTGATACCTACTGAATTACTGTTAGTTCTGGGTATATAAACAAGGCCATCAAAGTTAGTTCTGGTTGTATAACCAAGGTCATCATTTCCTCTTGTTGTACACTATCAATATCTACTGTTACAAATCAGGGCAAATCTGCATTCAAAGAACTAATTTTGCATGAAAAAATCCAGTTTATATTGTTTACATGTGTATATTGACATAAGACGTCCTATCTTTACCAGTTTGATCTTTAGCCTTCGAGTTCATTGAACTTTTTTGTGCTTCCTGCAAATTTTTTGAGGGAGCATGTGGTTGCCACATTTCCGCTTATCTGTCCTTTTGTGTCCAGACAATGACTTTGCCCCCAATTAGGCAAAGATCATGAAATGTTGTGTATACATTGTTTTTACTAAGGTGATATGCAGTGTACCAAATTCAGGACCCTTAAGCGCTCTTTAACAGAGTTATTGCCCTTTGTAAAATTTCATGTCCAGAGATTAACTTTAAAGTGCTTGAATGACAAGACCAATTTTAACAATAATTCAACTTTATTAATTTGAATTAAAACCTTTCTGATGGGGTAATCTAATGACCACAATGCTGTAGAGTAATGTTGTTGGCTTGCTGAGGAGAAAGACTATCCATGAGCCAAAATTTTAAATGTACAAATTAACTACTTTGAAACCATTCAACTTTATGAAGTGTTGAATCCTGCAGGAGAAGGGTTTCAGACTATCAGGTTCTGCAAGCTGACTATCTAGATGAAAAGATTAAGGACTGATTTCAGACAAATCAATGGGTATATCAGAACTTGAAACTATGGAAAGTAGGTTAAATGATACTACTGTTCCTGAATGCTGGAATGGATTTTGTTAAACTATTGTCTGAAACATTATTAGTGGTGGGCAATTTATTCTTAAATTCAGAAAATTGATTTGACCTCAAGAGACTCGGGTACAGTAAATGCCCTGATATTAGCCCAAAACATCCAGGATGTATGGCCACCAAGTATGTTCAAATGAAAGACCTCGATCTGTTTTCAATGTAACAAGGAATAAATGCGTTAAAATTTTAAATGACAGCTTACCAATAACCAAAAGACCAAAGATCAGACTGTGCTGGGATGTGGAGATATCAAGCCTCTTTATAGGAATGACCTTGATGTACTGTTAAAATCACTACAATCAAATTCAACTTGTGAGTTACGAAGAGGCCAGCAATGATGTGACTGACTTGAGGACATTATTAAATAATAGATATCGCAGATTAAACAAATACACAATCTAGAGTTATTTGATGAACTGCCTGTAGGTTTGATGTTTCTCTGTGTCGTACTGTATTGCAGTTTGACAGATTTTCAGTCTGAGATATTTGGTAAGGAATCCCCACTGAGCTTTTTCAGATCCTTATGAAAGTAACAATATTGTGTATGCATTAAAAACTGTCTTTTTTACAGGGGATGTAATACGATGGGAACAACAAATCCGCTTACGACATTTGTTGACAAGACAGTACCTGTGTATAGACTCCAAGATGGACGTGTCATTGGTTAATGATGCTAGCGATCCCCGTACAGTATTTAGACTCCACTCGGTACTTAAGGTATGCACAGATTTCATTTAACATCATGTTGCAATTATAATTCATTTCAATTCAAAATTGAATTTTGCTTCTATCTTGAAAAAACACATTTATATAAATAGAATCGGTCAAGGTCATACATATATTGCAGATTCTTCATTTTACCTGCGATACTTGTGGAACGCATCCTTTACAGTTCTGTAATCTATTTCTGTACCTCACATACAATACCAAGTTATTTATAAATTGTTGAAGATAATACCCCATCAATAACGGTTTTGGCAGTTTCCGGTATCTTTATGATTCTATCTGAAACATAATACATACTTACAACATCTGCTGCTCTGTACAGCGTTCAAACAAAGCTGTTCAATAGTCAAAACCATTAAATGAGCATTATGGCACTATAAAACCAATCCTTCATGTTTAACTTTCATTCTTCAGATTTTCCTGTATTTCAGGCATATTTTGTTTGAATGCCAGCTACCTAACGATAACTGGTTGCTTTGGAAACTGTTTTGATACAAGCTTGATGAATAAAGAGTTAATAATAAGGAAGTTTTCTCTAGTGGAGAGTGTATATAAGTTGTTTGCCAACATGTGGTGACATTGAGATATAGTATGTTAATATACATTATATTTATATAAACTGTTAACTTCCATTTCTCACAGTCTGTAGTACTTATTTTAAAATATTCACTAGTATGAGATACCCCTCTAGAGTGAGCATCATATAGGTTAAGGAAGGGTATCCTTTAGGATGAGATACCCTTCTAGAGTGAGCATCATATAGGTTAAGGAAGGGTGTCCTTTAGGATGAGATACCCTTCTAGAGTGAGCATCATATAGGTTAAGGAAGGGTATCCTTTAGGATGAGATAACCTTCTAGAGTGAGCATCATATAGGTTAAGGAAGGGTATCCTTTAGGATGAGATAACCTTCTAGAGTGAGCATCATATAGGTTAAGGAAGGGTATCCTTTAGGATGAGATAACCTTCTAGAGTGAGCATCATATAGGTTAAGGAAGGGTATCCTTTAGGATGAGATAACCTTCTAGAGTGAGCATCATATAGGTTAAGGAAGGGTATCCTTTAGGATGAGATAACCTTCTAGAGTGAGCATCATATAGGTTAAGGAAGGGTATCCTTTAGGATGAGATAACCTTCTAGAGTGAGCATCATATAGGTTAAGGAAGGGTATCCTTTAGGATGAGATACCCTTCTAGAGTGAGCATCATATAGGTTAAGGAAGGGTATCCTTTAGGATGAGATACCCTTCTAGAGTGAGCATCATATAGGTTAAGGAAGGGTATCCTGTAGGCTGTGGTACCTCTAGTAGTAGGTATTATTTTAGGTTTAGGAAGGGTATCCTGTAGACTGTGATACCTCTAGTAGTAGGTATTATTTTAGGTTTAGGAAGGGTATCCTGTAGGCTGTGATACCTTTAGTAGTAGGTATAATTATAGGTAGAGGAAGGGTATCCTGTAGGCTGTGATACCTCTAGCAGTAGGTATTATTTTAGGTTTAGGAAGGGTATCCTGTAGGCTGTGATGCCTCCAGTAGTAGGTATTATTTTAGGTTTAGGAAGGGTATCCTGTAGGCTGTGATGCCTCCAGTAGTAGGTATTATTATAGGTAGAGGAAGGGTATCCTGTAGGCTGTGGTACCTCTAGTAGTAGGTATCATTATAGGTTTAGGAAGGGTATCCTGTAGGCTGTGATGCCTCCAGTAGTAGGTATCATTGTAGGTTTAGGAAGGGTATCCTGTAGACTGTGATACCTCTAGCAGTAGGTATTATTTTAGGTTTAGGAAGGGTATCCTGTAGGCTGTGATACCTTTAGTAGTAGGTATAATTATAGGTAGAGGAAGGGTATCCTGTAGGCTGTGATACCTCTAGCAGTAGGTATTATTTTAGGTTTAGGAAGGGTATCCTGTAGGCTGTGATGCCTCCAGTAGTAGGTATTATTTTAGGTTTAGGAAGGGTATCCTGTAGGCTGTGATGCCTCCAGTAGTAGGTATTATTATAGGTAGAGGAAGGGTATCCTGTAGGCTGTGGTACCTCTAGTAGTAGGTATCATTATAGGTTTAGGAAGGGTATCCTGTAGGCTGTGATGCCTCCAGTAGTAGGTATCATTGTAGGTTTAGGAAGGGTATCCTGTAGACTGTGATACCTCTAGCAGTAGGTATTATTTTAGGTTTAGGAAGGGTATCCTGTAGGCTGTGATGCCTCCAGTAGTAGGTATTATTATAGGTTTAGGAAGGGTATCCTGTAGGCTGTGGTACCTCTAGTAGTAGGTAACATCATAGGTGTAGAAAGGTTATTCTGGTACAATCAGTGTCTCATTGCCACTTTTCTTATCCAGTAGTCTATCTTTGATGGCAGGATTTTGTCTGCTTTTTCAAATTAAACACAGAAAAAAACAATTTAATTGGTCATTTCAAAGAAGTTAAGATTTGTGCTACACTGTAAATTTAAATTATAGTAGAAATAAAGAGTTGAGTTAAGCCCAGATTTTAGATTTTCCTGATGGATAGGTAATTAGGCTGTTTCAACATTTAGTGTTTATCAGTTAGCTCTGTAATACATGGCCATCAATATATCTGTATGGCTGCAGACATTTCTCCACATTTCAGTGTTTCAGACAAACATCAGCGATTATTGCTGGTGATGTTTTGACAAAATTCCTTTGCTGGATGCTTTCAATTTGCCAGAATTGCTTCATTTTAAAATTTCAATTTTTTTGGACTTAGCAAACAACCATAAATGTTGTAAAATGTTTGCCATTAGATAAGTTTTAGATTTGAACACCTGATAGATATAAATATGCACATGACATTATTGTGTAGCTTTTTTCACTATTTCTTTACTGCTTTCTGAAATGCATTATACAGACAGTATTCATTGACGTCCCGTAAAATATTTTACATCACATTATTTTTGTTTCACCAGTAAAATGTGTGATATTCAACAGTAAACTACCAGTATTAAATTTTCTATATTTTCTATATATAACATTCAAAGGATGAAAAAAAAACATGTAAAAAGTGCAAGAATCAGAGTTCATTTTACACTCGAAAAATCAACAGTTCAGAAATTTATTGATCAGATAGTAAGTGGGTTGTTCATGTTAAATGCATTAAGTTTTGAATTTCTTTGGGAGTGCTCAGTACCACTGCATGATAATACATCTTACTTATGGACATGCATGTATATGTCTATGAAAGCTTACAAATTAAGAAAAACATCTATACATAACTTAGGACAAAAATGAGGATTGGGGCAACCCACATGCTTGGTGGAGTGTGCTGTTTTTAATTAGTGGCTCTTCCTTGTAAAGATTTGCTCTCAATTCAGTTTACTAATGTGAATATGAATGGAAAATCTCAGTATATACAGCAAATGTATTGTAACTAATCACATGACTATTTTTTATGAACAGAAATAAAATATATATCCAATTCTTATTTTTATTTTTCCTAACCAGAAAGGTGATCTCTTTGTTTGTTATAGGAGCGGGATGAGATCCAGTTTGAGAGCTATGCACGAATTGAACACATGTTGACAGGATGCTGGCTGCATGCGCTCAAAGGTAACAATGTCCTCCCAAAGATGACAATGTCCTCCCAAAAGCAACAATGTCCTCCCAAAGATAACAATGTCTTCCCAAAAACAACAATGTCTTCCCAAAGATAACAATGTCTTCCCAAAAACAACAATGTCTTCCCAAAGATAACAATGTCTTCCCAAAGATAACAATGTCTTCCCAAAGATAACAATGTCTTCCCAAAAACAACAATGTCTTCCCAAAGATAACAATGTCTTCCCAAAGATAACAATGTCTTCCCAAAAATAACAATGTCCTCCCAAAAGCAACAATGTCTTCCCAAAAACAACAATGTCCTCCAAAATATAACAATGTAGGTTCTTTAGGACTGATTGCCATCATGTTTCATCTGTCCTTGTATTCCATGCTAATTCAGTTTTTTTTCAAAAAGCCTCCCTAATGTATGTGTAGATTTCCAATTTAGTCTGAAGTATTACTAGGGGACGGCAATCGTTTCTTACATAAATGAAGTTGACCAATTGGGAAAGGGGAGGCAGGGCTCCAAATGGAAAGTTAGCTAAAATTTTACTTTCAAATGCTCTTTCCTAAATGTGTGAGAGGATTTCATCCAAATCTAGACTGAAACATCATTGGGGGTAGGAGATAATTTCTTAAGTCGTACTTTCCAACTTTTTCAGATTTTCGTTGGGGAGATTTTATGTGATCAAAAATGAAATCATTAATGAAATGTGTGCCTATACTCTCCAGTAAAGAAATAACCGGTGTAAATGACATCTTTTGTGTTGTTTGTACAAATGAAATCATGAGTGAATAGTTAAGCTAATTCACCTTTTGAAAATTGTGAAATTAGGGGTCAAAAATCTGGATTCTCCCTCCTTAACAGGGAGGACTACAACGATGTAAAGTACACATGTAAAGTTGATGTAACCCCTGAGAACATTGCAGTGATTTTTGGATGCAGATATTTAAGTTCTGAAGTCATGTTTTCCTTTGGTACTCAAATTTTGAAAACCTATTGTATCACTTAATTTTTTGATTCATCAAAATTATGGAATTAGTGCTCTGGACTTGCCTTACAAAATCCTACAAAATTTACTGAGAACAGGGAGGTAGGGCCCCAAAAATATACTTTAGCTATAATTTGGTTTCAATTAAATGTTACCCATCTTTAATGCATTTTTCGATTTCAACCAAATTTAGTCTGAAACATTCACTTGGAAAGGGTGATCATTTTTAAAATCAATGAGATTAAACACTGGAAACATATAAAAATTCAGACAATAGATAATGTTCGTATTTTTTAATTTCAAATGGGTACCCCATAAAGTACTGGCTAAATCAACTGGATGTTGGTCATATGACGGGTAGGCCTCAGAATCCTCTTGTTCTTGCTAAGAACAATTGAAGGCCAAATAGATATACCAAGTAAAATATTTTATAGAATGTATATTTTACCGGGAATGATTCATCCTTTTGTTGTTTATTTGATCCTGGGTAACAAACAACTGCCAGCCTTGTACAAGACTTATTTAAAGCCTGTACATGGTGATGCTATTTACCGATCAATGTTATTGGTTTTCAATGTTCTGGTTGGAAGTTGATTTCTTAAAACTATATTACTAGATATTGAAGTGTATTAGGGTAAAGAAAGATGAAATAATCTCCCCTCGTTCATTAGCACAAAAGATTTATCTACTGATTAATAGGTGAACAGTACTGATGGCATGATTGCTAATTGAGGAAAATAAACTGCTCCTTACATCAATGGCTATAATCGTAATGCTATATTGATAGGAGGTTCATCCTGATTAGTCATAAGTAGCCTGGAGATTCAGTACTAGATGGAAATTTCTGTGTTTTTTTGATAGGAGATACTCCAGATCTGTAATTATATAATAATCATTGGAATAAATATAGAGTAGGACGGCCAATGTTTGTCGGCTTTAAGAGCAGCTACATACATACTGGTATGCTTCTATATTGTGGGTTTATTCAGACACAACATTGCTCGAATCACTTTTATGATATGCCTCTTTTCCACAGGTATACATTTCGGTTTGGTTTTGATGTATAGTGCAGTGGGATGTCCGTCATTTAGTTACAGTGTGTAAAAGCCTTTTACATATTTAGTGGTTTGTTGATCAGTTATCAGTAAGGGATGTTCTCTGTAACATTGGTGCATTCTCTTTATAATAACAACCTCATATCAATGTGTTTACAAGCTGATCCGGACTTCTATGTCTATAGATGAATTAGCATGCACAACATGTACATTAGTGTGAATTAGGCAGTACAATATACACATGATGCACCTACTTGTGTAAGTTTCCACATAAAACAGCACCTGTAGTTTTTAGGGCCCTTAGTGTAATGGGACAGGATCTAGGATGGTGCCTGTTTATATCTGACTGATTAAGTTATGACAGTCTGCCAGGGGGTGTATCAGGTTTATCAATGAATTTTATAACACCTGTTTGATACTTAGGATCATTCAGTTTCACAGATGAATTTTATAACACCTGTTTGATGCTTAAGATAATTGAAGGTCCATAGATGAATTTTATAACACCTGTTTGATACTTAAGATAATTTAAGGTCACAGATGAGTTTTATAACACCTGTTTGATGCTTAAGATAATTGAAGGTCCATAGATGAATTTCATAGCACCTTTTTGATATTTAGGATAGTTTAAGTTCACAGATGAATTTTATAACACCTGTTTGATGCTTAAGATAATTTTGGTCCATAGATGAATTTTATAACACCTGTTTGATACTTAAGATAATTTAAGTTCACAGATGAGTTTTATAACACCTGTTTGGTGCTTAAGATAATTAAAGTTCACAGATGAATTTTATAACACCTGTTTGATACTAAGGATAATTTAAGTTTACAGATGAATTTTATAACATCTGTTTGATACTAAGGATAATTTAAGTTCACAGATGAATTTTATAACACCTGTTTGATGCTTAAGATAATTAAAGTTCACAGATGAATTTTATAACACCTGTTTGATGCTTAAGATAATTTTGGTCCATAGATGAATTTTATAACACCTGTTTGATACCTAAGATAATTGAAGTTCACAGATGAATTTTATAACACCTGTTTGATTCTTAAGATAATTGAAGTTCATAGATGAATTTTACAACACCTGTTTGATACCTAAGATAATTAAAGTTCACAGATGAATTTTATAACACCTGTTTGATACTTAAGATAATTGAAGTTCACAGATGAATTTTATAACACCTGTTTGATGCTTAAGATAATTGAAGGTTCATAGATGAATTTTAAAACACCTGTTTGATGCTTAAGATAATTTTGGTCCATAGATGAATTTTATAACACCTGTTTGATGCTTAAGATAATTAAAGTTCACAGATGAATTTTATAACACCTGTTTGATGCTTAAGATGATTGAAAGTTCATAGATGAATTTTAAAACACCTGTTTGATGCTTAAGATAATTTTGGTCCATAGATGAATTTTATAACACCTGTTTGATGCTTAAGATAATTAAAGTTCACAGATGAATTTTATAACACCTGTTTGATGCTTAAGATGATTGAAAGTTCACAGATGAATTTTAAAACACCTGTTTGATGCTTAAGATAATTTTGGTCCATAGATGAATTTTATAACACCTGTTTGATACTTAAGATAATTTAAGTTCACAGATGAGTTTTATAACACCTGTTTGATACTAAGGATAATTTAAGTTTACAGATGAATTTTATAACACTTGTTTGATACTAAGGATAATTTAAGTTTACAGATGAATTTTATAACACCTGTTTGATACTAAGGATAATTTAAGTTCATAGATGAATTTTACAACACCTGTTTGATGCTTAAGATAATTTTGGTCCATAGATGAATTTTATAACACCTGTTTGATACCTAAGATAATTGAAGTTCATAGATGAATTTTACAACACCTGTTTGATGCTTAAGATAATTTAAGTTTACAGATGAATTTTATAACACCTGTTTGATACCTAAGATAATTGAAGTTCACAGATGAATTTTATAAAACCTGTTTGATTCTTAAGATAATTGAAGTTCATAGATGAATTTTACAACACCTGTTTGATGCTTAAGATAATTTAAGTTTACAGATGAAGTTTATAACACCTGTTTGATACCTAAGATAATTGAAGTTCACAGATGAATTTTATAACACCTGTTTGATTCTTAAGATAATTGAAGTTCATAGATGAATTTTACAACACCTGTTTGATGCTTAAGATAATTAAAGTTCACAGATGAATTTTATAACACCTGTTTGATACTTAAGATAATTGAAGTTCATAGATGAATTTTACAACACCTGTTTGATGCTTAAGATAATTAAAGTTCACAGATGAATTTTATAACACCTGTTTGATGCTTAAGATAATTGAAGGTTCATAGATGAATTTTAAAACACCTGTTTGATGCTTAAGATAATTTTGGTCCATAGATGAATTTTATAACACCTGTTTGATGCTTAAGATAATTAAAGTTCACAGATGAATTTTATAACACCTGTTTGATGCTTAAGATAATTTAAGTTTACAGATGAATTTTATAACACCTGTTTGATACTAAGGATAATTAAAGTTCACAGATGAATTTTATAACACCTATTTGATACTAAGGATAATTAAAGTTCACAGATGAGTTTTATAACACCTGTTTGATGCTTAAGATAATTAAAGTTCACAGATGAGTTTTATAACACCTGTTTGATACTAAGGATAATTAAAGTTCACAGATGAGTTTTATAACACCTGTTTGATGCTTAAGATAATTGAAGGTTCATAGATGAATTTTAAAACACCTGTTTGATGCTTAAGATAATTTTGGTCCATAGATGAATTTTATAACACCTGTTTGATGTTTAAGATAATTAAAGTTCACAGATGAATTTTATAACACCTGTTTGATGCCTAAGATAATTAAAGTTCACAGATGAATTTTATAACACCTGTTTGATACTAAGGATAATTAAAGTTCACAGATGAATTTTATAACA